CAGTGCCAGCAAAACAAACAAATGGCTCACATTAAAATGAACGGCAGCGGAAATATTAGCGAAAATGTTGAAAATTTGTGTATGCCAGAGGATATATACAGGGGGTTTGGAAAACCCAGTGGAAAGCCCAAAAGTTGGGGACACTTAACAGGCTTCGTTTGTTGCTATTTGGCCTGGCCAAACAAGAGGAGTTGGGGGGCTAAGTCCTCCAGAGGGGTTCCTTGCAGCCCAAAATGGATATGCGTTGACAACTGGCAGTCGACGTTGTTTTTCCTACTTCTGTATCCTTGCCGTAAGGTCCTGGCCAATATGCACGCCGAACATGCAAAGCGAGGCGAAAGCGACCCACGATTAGGGGCGGGTTCTATTCAACCCGGTTATAACTGAAAAACTGTGTTCGAAATTAGCTACCCAGTGAGGTTTTTGTTTCTGGGGAGTGGGACCAAACTATGTCAACGTTTTGGGTTCGGGCTGGAGTTTTTCGGAGGGTGGGTAGTCGGATCGTTTAAATAAAAATCGGTTGGCATGCAATTTGACTGGATATCGTAGTCATAACTTGGAAAGTATACTTTCATAGCTTTATCAATCGAAATGGCAGATGGAATCAGCTTGTTAAGCCATTTATAATATAAGACCTGCTGCTATATCTAGGCTAGCGAATATCAGATGAGAATGATAAACTTGACTAGTTGTTATTATGATTTAATTACCTTAAATCAGTATCAGAATGTAAGTTAATGGATTTCAGACCTTAAAGATTCATTACAATACTTAAAGACGTCATTTTGGTAAATATTCTGAATTTAAAAAGGTCTTTGCAATATATTATTATATTATTATATTATATTATCATATCATATTATTGTTTTTATATCATATATGATATTATAAATCACATTACTTTAGATGTCATAAATAGTATTTTTCTTCAAATCTAACCTCAAATCTTTACAAGAAAGGTACTCTTTAGGGCCAAATGGCCAATACTAATCGAAATGGGACTCCGTTCGGAAGACGGGGGAATTGTTTGACATCTGTTTGAAATAAGTGGCTTGGGATGGGGGCTTTGGCAACTCCATTTGGAGGTTTGGGCCCGGTTCGGTTTGTTGATTTTGCCCTGTTTTGTTTTATTTTGTTTCATTTGCTCGTGCCGCATTTGGGTCTAGGGTAGTTAAAGTTTATCTACACTCATTTGCCGTGTTTGTGTTTTTCTACACATAAACCTACTTTACGGTCTGGAAAAAAATTAAAAATACTGTTTGCTGTCTTTTGTTTGTCGCCTTCGGTTTTTATTTAATTCCAGTTCATTCGGTTATTTATTGATTCCGTAAGTTGCTAAAATCTTTTAATAGCTTTCCTCACTCGCATGGGTCATTAAGAGATAGACAAAGCTGCGGTATACAACATATTTAAGGAAACTCACGCACACTTCAACTATAAATGCTGGCCAACAGTACACTCATAAATCAGTTGACATTTTTAATGACAAATTTTTGTTGCTGCTTTTGTTTTCTCTGACAACTTTCCTCAAGGGGAAAGGGGCAGCGGAATGCGAAGGTTGCAAAAAAATTAAAAAAGAATGAAATGTATTTCATAAAAAATGTTTTGCGTATTCAACCAGGCATTAACTTAATTGCGGCTGTGTCCTCTCAGAACTCTTTGTCTCAATCCAAACAGTTCTGGTACTAAATCTTAACCCTGCCATGCCCGATTACATTTTCAGCTGTTCGCCGTGTAATTGATAGATCCCTACGAGGGCGGATCCAGGAGTACGTTCTATATAGAGCCATCCGAAATGCCGCCCACACACCCCAGGCAGAAATCCGTATCTTTTTTTTTAGTCGTGTTGGCTTGCCGTCTATTTTTGAAACAACAAACAAATTATGAGAATGAGAGTGAAAATGGGCGACAGAGATTCAGGCGCACACGTTGCCCATAGACAGGGCCATATATCGTACTATCTATAGATTGCCTAAGTATTTTGTGATTTTTCTTAATCATCATAAATTCGTGTTGCCTCCACCGTCAAACAGCAGGAAAAAAGGAAAAAGCCAGCGACACGAAGAGAGCCAAAGACATTTGGCAGTTGGACAAGAACTTTCCCGGCGACGGAAACATCAATAAATTAGAAATGTTTAGCTCAACTTTGATGGGGATGGGGGTGGTTCAGTGGGTGGTGGTGGCTGTGGGGGCCACAACTTATTGTCTGCGCCTTGTAGAATTTTGTGTGTGGCAAAGGAATTCGTGTATGTCTCACTCGGTTGCCTTTGGTCATAAGTCGGGGCATTTAATGGCCGCCTTCTGGCTGGGCTTCCATTGAGGTGATTTCCGCTGGCCTCGAAGGGGGTTGAACACCAGGATGCTGCGCAGTCGCGTCCTAAAATCACAGAAAGGGATGCTGATTTTATGGTGTTATCATGCAAAATGGTTTCCTGATGTCAGCCATTTTGTTGGCCAGTTAAATGAATCAAAACATTAGGTTTCTAAAATGATTGTTCAAAAATATTTAAGAAATTCTTGAAACCAAAGTAGTTGTTTTAAAATGTGTAAGAATAAATACTACATACCTAGCTACATGGAACATTAACTAGATTTGTTAGAATGCCCATATGTCTAAAGGTATATTTTTTTCTTAACGTATTTGTTGTCCCTAAAAATTGTTAAAAATAATTATATTCATTTTATTATATATAAGAAAGTAATCTCTATAAGTTGGAGTGGTTCATTTATTATGTAAGGTATATTCGACCTCCCTTTCTGGAAGATGTCGGTTTGAGTTATGAAAGTTCTTCTGTAATCGGTATCTAAACATGTTTTTATCTCTAAGTACATATATATATTTTTTTTTAAGTCGATGGCCACTGCAGCTAGCACTCTAATTCCTAATAAGGAACTATGTTATAATAGCGATTGATATCTGATATCTCATATGTATTAATTTAAATAAATAATTTTTAATGCCTATATATATTTAACACATCTTAAAAATATTTTAAGAATTTAAAAGCCCTTTTAAGAAACAATATTTCAATTTTTAACTAAAAACTCAAATCCATTTAAGGTTCTTAGTTCCTTGCTTGAATAAATATCTGTATGCCATCGCTGCTCCTATGCACATGTGGCTCCACTTCGGGCCTGTAATTCCATATTCCCCTGAACTGTGTTGGGTGGGCGACAACGTCATCGCCCCCAAACTAGCCAGCCCACTAGCAGCACTCCCACCCACCCTCTGGAAGCACCACCCGCTGCCAATTAACGTAATTAAATGATGCGTAGGGAGTCAACAGTTGGAGTACTCTGCACTACAGGCACACACACGCCCAGGTCCTGGCCGTCATGGTGGGTATCTTATCCTTCTGCTTAATTAATTTGGGACATGGAATAAAAAAGTTGAATACTAGGGAGTTGCACTCGCCGGCATTTAATGCTTCAATTGGGAGTTGAAACCGGAATTGGAGAATCCTCGCAGCAGTCCATCGATAATTGGAACCCAGCGAAGCCACACAAAGGAATCGGAAAACCCACAAAAATGTATACATTAAGTTGGAACAGAGAGAACGTCATCCTTCACAGGACATGGCCCTGTCAGCATAGCTTGGAAATCATGCGAGTTGTATGAGAAATCATCCAACACTTTTTGCGTAATTTCCCCGAGGACCCCAGACCTCATGTAAGGGGAATATCCATTTGCTGACCCACATTTTTGGCCACACGAAAGGCCAAACGCAAATTATGCTAATCATGGCCCACTCGGCATCATCTCTCTTACTTAGCCAACGTTAATGACCGTTATTCGCCGCTCTCTTTATGGAGTAGGTACACCAGCCTATAATTCTTTTGTGCGCTTCTGGCTTTAATTAAACTAATTACCACAATTTAACAGTCAAAATGTCGCGAAATGTAATCTAAGCTTTTGGCTGTATGGGCCTCGTATTTCTTCTAGCCATGATTCATTGTGGGACTTTATTATGATTATGGCTAATATTTCCAATGGGTTATTATAAGGAAAAACAATTATCAGGAAAATAAAAAGGTTTTGTTTTATTTCAATGTGCTTTAAAATGATTTCTTCTTTTGATCTTATATTTTAAAATAATTATTTATTAATAACTTATTTTAAACTCATCATAGCACTAGCATTTTTAGTATATCTTAACTATTTGATTACAATCTCCCTGCCAAATAATTTAATTATCTTTAGCATTTGTCACGAAACCCACAACTTTTGATTTGTTTTAAGAACACGCACCTTAATTGAGCCTAACACATAGTAATTCCGAAAGGTAAACCCCAAAATTGGCTTTCAATCTGCAATCCTTGCCGCTGCAAATTGATTTGCATAAATTCATATTGGCAGCCGAATCATTGCCTACTTTCAGGCAACCCGCAGGGTCAACAACTCCTGCCAAGGCCTTCGGGAAATTGGTAAGAGAGGGGGCTTAAATGCCAGAATATGCAAAACAAAACGCGCGACAAACGAAATAAATTCAAATGCGTTTTCGGCGGCTCTTAAATGTAAGCCAGCCCCAAAAATTAATTACAGGCTGTAAGGTAATTCCAGCCAGGAGCTGTGCTTTTTGTGGCCAAAAGGATACGTTGGCTAAGGGTCCCCAGAAAGGCCAAAAACCACTGTTAAATAGAGGAAACGACAACGGCGACGCAGCGCTAAAGGAAATATAAATGCGACATACTTTCGGAGCCCAGGTAAAACAATTGCGTGTAACTGGGCGATTAACATGATATGCGGAAATTTTCCCGTATTGCAAATGCAAATAAATGTTGGGGGTCCTCGAAATACTCAAACGCGCAGGCGTCGAAACCGCCCCGTGAAAAGTACCCACATACCATCACAACCTATACGAAGTACTCGTCATCGTTTTTGCCCCGGGCTCTTGGCGAATAAAATTATATTGCATGCGGAACTTGAACGAGTCCTTGGGCCTGATGGGAAAAGACTTCGTGCCTGGACAGTTGGCGGCCTGTCAGTCAGTCGCCGCAGATCCACCTGGCTGAAATGAGCCCAGAATGGCAGTGTGAATAGCCCGCAAAGCCATCTGAACTTGAATAGAAATTCCTGAGTTTTGGCTCAAAAAGTATCCATCCTGACAAATTCCCAGCTAATTACTGCCAAATTATGTCACCCCAAAAGAAGCCGAGACCAGACACATTTTTCACGAGATTATTCTAGCAAACACTGTGCAAATCCCCTCGGTGACAATCAAAATCGCTGGCAAATAAACTAAAATCAAGCTAAAATAATACAAAAAAAAAATAAGAATACAGCAACAAATACCAGCAACTAATCTATGCTAATAAATTGTCAACCAAAATAATTTCAACAATAACAAAAAAAAGGAGAACACACAGACAAAGATGAAAAAGTTTTTAGTCGAAATTCTGAAATAGTTTGGGCCGTTTCCTGCTTATGGGGCCGCTAAGAATTCCAGAGGTGAGTAAAGTTTATAATATAAATAAATTTGACATTTTCTTGTTTCACTTTTAATTTCCCTCAACTATTAAAGCCGCCATGTGGGCGTTGTGAGGTGATTCTCTTGTTGCATTCTTTTCCTATAAGATTTTTTTTTATTCGGGTATGATGAACTGAGTTTTAAAAAAGTATTAAAAAAATCTAAGATAAAGTTGAAGACAGCAATAAATAAATGTCTTATTTATATATTATGGAATAAACTTAACTTCGCAATCAATTTTTTTCCTTTTTAATGATGCATCATAAATATACCCCATATACACAGTCACATTTTTTCAGTCCTGCTTAGAGATAATAACACTCAAAAAGTGAGATCCAAAAACAGGGGTATTTAAAAGACCGGTCTCTTAGGCACTCTCTAACTTCTCCCTCCCCCAAATTTTGTTTTCATTTCATAAACACTAAAAACATTTATTATCAAGTCCCAAAGTTTTATGTCTGCGCGTATTTATAGACCCCCTACTAAAACGACACAGAAACGAACTGTTTGTGGTTGGTAAAACATGCCATCAGGTGAGGGAAATTGGGTATTTGATAGCTTTCATCAAAGAATTGTGCAATTTTATGAATCGTATAAAATTAATTACCCCGGGGATATTAATTTATGATACGAGCGCCGTTTATCTCTATCTCTATCTATTGCATCTATATTTATCTGTGGACCATGACTAGATCCACATCATATCTGGTAGACATAATCTCGTTAGTCTTATCTTCGCTGGTATCTCGAGCTGCTCTTCGAGTTCCAAACAGCTGTTAGGAAAGCGAATCGAACTAAAATGCCAACCGGTTTAGTTTTAGCCACAGACAGACAGTCAGGTGTTTGTGTCAAGAATGCATGAACACAAAAATATTTTTACATAAAAGGCAAATCAAGAGCTATAATCGAATAAAATAAAACAGGAATCAAAAATACACAAAGAAATGGAAAAAGAAACACTAATGTCAATAAATTAAGTCAACAAAAGTGACCAACGAAAGCGGACCGCTATAAAAGACCAATGCTTTAGAAAGGGGGAAATCGAATCAAGGAGGGGTTCCGAAACCTAGCTGATCTCAAAATCAGAACGGGTTTTGTTTCTGTTTCTATTTCCTTCGCCTAACAAAGAAAATTAAACCTCAATTTGGATTCAAACGGTTCGAATTCAGATTTTGTGCTCAATGTATCTGGTATCTGTATCTCGTGGCTTTTCGGTGTTTCTTTCATTTACATTTTGTGGTCTGTGGCACCTTTTCGCCCCCTTCCCCCGCAGATCACCTGTATCAAAAGCTGTTTCTTTAATTTATTCTAATTGCCTCGACGCTGCCTAGATACGGTTTCAGATACTTGGCAAGAAGCAACTGCAACAGTAGCTTGTGGATCGCTCAGATGTCGCGGGAAGTGGGCAAAAAGTCTACCACCTGATTGCTAATTTGTCGGATTCGAAATGCAAGTGGTTCGATTGCCACCTGTTTCAGGTTTCAGGGGTCACTAGATTGTTATTTTTTTAATCTTAAAATAGATGAATAATTCCGATAAAAAAAAGGTGGTCATCATTTATTCATATTTTATAAACACGCAATACTTATAAGTATAAGTAATGTTTCGTGTCACCACCATGACTTTTGGTTGTATAAAGAGAATGTTATTAATTGAAGTATAAGAAATGGATTCTGCATATAAAATATTCCTATTATAAGAATCTAATTTTTCCAAGCAAATAGGCCAAATTCCTCGACTACTAATGGGGTTCCAATTTAAATACCTTTCGCTCAGGTATGCACCATCATTTAATTGGTGTCGAGTACAATTTATGAACATATTTTTGGTCATTTGTAGTAAGTTCTTTATTGGTTATTTATGGATGTAGCGTGCTGAAGAGCACGTGCTGGGCCTGATTTTAAAGCCAAAAGTATTTTATGAGCCCTGCAGATACGTACAACTGACCCTGTCTCTTTGTTTGCCTTTGTTAAAGAGCTAAAAATTATGTGTCTATGCTGGGTAAATTATTATGACTTTCACGCCCCGGGCTCCAGAAGAAAATGGACGAGGGGGGCTCGAAAACATTTACAACGTCACACGTAAATGATTAATAACTTGCACGGTCATAATTCTTTTGCCTCATGGACACCAAAAAAGGCAAATACTCGGATACCCAGTTACTAGCCAACGATTAAGTATTTTCATTACTTTTATTCTGCTTTTCATTGTTGTTATTATTGGTGGCGAATGCAGCCAAGAAGCCAATGAACCGCACAACTGGTTGACAGCTGCAGTTATTGTTGGCAGTGGAGATGGGTGCGTGATGTGAATTATGCGATGTGACACGGGGCTAACGTACAGAAATCCCTAAAAGTTGAAACCCTCTATATAAACAACTGCTTAAAAGTATGCTACGAAGTATTTCTAGTCCGACAGTCCTAAGAAAAAGTACCGAAAGTCGGTTTGTCACTTTTCGTAGCATACTTTTAGGCACCATATTCAGTGATTATCGTTAAATATGTTGATTTCTCATCTATAGTAGCATACTTTTAGATACCTACTTCAGTGATTTCAAACCTCTATAGATAATTAAGGTAGAAATCGCACTCTAGTACACCCCTAGCCAAAAGCAAAAGATACAGTTACATTTTGAGCAGCATATATGCAAACATGTATCTATAAGTGTCAATTGTTGTTATTATTGACCGACTGTTCTGCCATCTATTAGTACAAGTATCTGTATCCGAGTGCGGAGTATCTGCGAGCATATTGTGAAAGTGAAAACCCACAAGTGCCCAACCTCAGAGCCCCGAGAAGCAAAGTTAATACGAGTTGGAGCCACATAATTGAGTTAGCCAAATGCCACACATTTTCGAAAGTTGACTCGGCCGGCGGCGGCGCTATAATGACGATCCCATTAAAGCATTAACTATTCATTTCATATTCCAATTGGATCATATGACAATTTGTGACAATCGGCTTAATCAATTCAGACAATTAGCACAGCGCACACAACACAATTGCCGCGGAACTTTCTTCTCGGCCAGATACATTCGGTCAGATACAGATACATTCGGCCTGTCATGTTCCCAATCGTTTTGACCGTAGCAAATCCAATTCGAAATGGGGCTCAATGCAATTCAATTCAATTCGATTCAATTCAATTTCGTTTTATTAACCAGCAAGTTCAGCTGTTGCTTTGCATACGCAATTCTTAGCCGAAAAATGCAATTTGGTGACCGTGTTTTATGGCCCTGCAATTGCATTGAACGGAATCCTAATTATGGTTCGCCAGAATAGCGCCAATAAAAAAAAGGGCCCACAAAAACTTTGGACAACCTGGCCTAGAATTGATTACACATTCAGCTCATTTACCATAAATCCAGAGGGGTGGGTGCCCCTCTTCGTTGTTTATGTAAAACGCGTAGATTTGTATTCACAAACTGACCAAGTGGGCCTGCATACGCAATTTATAACGCACACTCACGCGGTGTGGAATCGAAATTTGTCTCAGTCCAGGTCGGTCCCCCGGGTTCCAGGTCTCTGTCCCCGGTCTCGGGTCCCCAAAGAGCCCCCACCTCCCGGTGCTTCTTGCTTTTCAATCGACTAAAAGCTATGAAACCAAAATACCGCAATGAATCAATGAGTAGTCGAGTTGGGGCCTTATATACCTAAGAATCCTCTATAGCAGTGCTTTCTCTATTATATTTTTCTATAATTAACATTTCATGAAAGGAGTTGTATCGAACCCGTTATATCTGTATATCTTATGTGTCACAATAGTTTGGTTTAAATTAAATCAATAAATTCACAAGCTAAAATTGCTTAAAAACGTAGTTCAAAATTCTCAGTTGTAAATACATAATGTTATTCAAATATATCGTTTTCTTAAATTTATTTGGGACTAAGTTCAAAAAACTATCTCTACAATTTTTTTTTATTCGAAACTGAATCCCATGAATCCTTTATATGAGTATTAATGGGTTTATATGGGTATTAATTCCTAAATTATGCTTGATTTGTTTTGTTTTTTAAATTTACATTTTACATCAGTAAAACTGTATCTAAAACATTATTTCAAATTGATAACCTAAAAAACTAAAGCTGTGTTCTTAAAAAAAAAATTCAAAACTCTCAATTATTTCGAAAAATACATGTTTCAAAGATTTTCTCTTATTATAAAATTCCTGATTGATTGGGACTGAGTTGAAAAACGGTGCTGATAGCTTTCAATACATTTTGAACTGAAAAATTCCAAGACAGCCCATATGCCCTACACACCATGTAGGGCATTATCCCATTGCGTATGCAGAGTTTTGAAATGTATTTTAAAATACTGGGCCGCCAAATAATTGATATGCCAACAGAAACGAGGAGAGAAACGGCGAATAGTTCACTGTTCATTGAAATGTTAAATGGTTTCGCTTTGAGCAGTGCATTAAAGCACTTCGTCGTTGCATCGAATTAGGCAAACATCGGGTGCAAAGGTTTTCCTCAGGCTTTCTGAACTCCACCCGAAAATGTGGCGTTCAGTTTCCGCTTTTCACTCGCCCAAGAAACAAAAACTCGCCCCACCCCGATTTCGCCAGAATGTTATTCATACATTTTTGTTAGTTTGCCAACAGAAAAAGTAAAGGAAAAGGGAAGAAGAAGCCGAAAAGTCGTTGGAAACGAGTCACATTTCAAAATTGACACTTCAAACGCAACGTTGCCAAGTTTTCTTCTTTTGCTCTAGGGTATGTCAGCGATGCCAACTGCATAGATATTTAAATTTCTATACCATTTCGTTTTATTTTTGTTTCAGTTCGGTGAGGTTTTGGTACGGTTTCGGTTCTGGGGAGGACAGCAACAGCATCGAAAAAGACCCAAAACAATTAACGAGCAGATAAGCGGCGAAAGAGCCATTTGCCGCTGTCCCCATCGAACTACTTAAATGCTTTAGTTTCTTCAAGAAAATCACAGAGGAGCCAGGGAAGTTGGTGGAGGAGATGGGGAAGGG